GGGGGGGGGGGGGGGGCGGACAGGATATTTGAGGTCCATGACCAAAGGTTTTGTGGCAACGAGCGCGCTGGCAGACATTGCTCTTGCAATTCGCTTCCGCTCATCATTAGGGCACGAATGTCAGTCATATACCAGGCGCAACGAGGTGTGCTCTCCACGCTGCCGAGCACCTGCACCCCCAAGGCCGCCTGAAGCGGCAGCCCTCCCATCACGCCTTGCGCTGGGCAAGCCCTGGCATGCGCGTCGTGTGCGGGGCGCACCCGTGGTGAACCCCTTGCAGCCGGGCCGCAGTGCCAGTGACGCCCAGTAGGCCGAGTGGCGCGCCTCCCACAGCCTGCGCCGCTCCTCGGGGCTGGTCGCCCACTGGAAGCCGCGGCCACCAGCGGCGGCAGCAAGCTCGCCCGCGGCCGCCGCGTGCTCCTGCAATGCCAGGGAGGATGGGGGAGGGGGCCACGAATCATGCGGAGCATCCCCCCCCCCTCAGGGTGGAGTGGCGCGCATCTCCCGAGGGCCCCCACGCGCCCTCAACCAAGCCCCCCCCCCCCCGAGCCTTGTCCACTGCACGCAATTCCTCCGCACCAGGATCCACTCTGCCACGCCATCCGCCTCACACCCACACAAACAACATACTGAATAACCCCCAAAGCCCTCGCGCGTGTGAAAGCCCCGTCGGCACCCTCCCGCGGTCCGCCCAGGGCCCCGCACCTTGACTCCAGCCTCGCTCCCTATGAACTCAAAGAACAGTGTGGGGCTCTCCCCAAAGGTCGTCTTGTTGTAGGCGTTGACCGCCCTCAGGGCCGCCGCATCCAGGATCTCAATGCGCGCCACCTGGCGGTCAGGAGGCGGGTGGTGGAGGTGGGGTGTGCAAGTGTGTGTCGGCAGATGCTGCTGGGACACGGAGAGCAGCGCGTGGGCCGAGCTTGGCACGCTGGATATGATGGAACGCCAGCAAGACTCCCACAGTCTTCGCACTCTGAAAGTAACTGCCAACAATTTGACCGAGGCGAAGGCCGCCAGGCCGCACGTGCCGCAAGGCTAGTGCCGCAGGCGTCTCGCCCCTCCAGCCATCCCCACGCGGCGCACACTGGGTTCTCTGCAGCGCCGCGCCCCGCCCACCGCCCACCGGGATGCTGCTGGCCATGACCGCCGTCACCGCCTCCACCGCATCCTCCACGCTCCCAAACTCGCACACTGCGGCCGCGGTGGCCTCCGGCACCGCGTGCAGCCTGATGGCCAGCTCCGTGATGACCCCCAGGGTGCCCTCAGACCCCACCAGCAGGTGGGCCAGGTCGTAGCCCGCGGAGCTCTTGCGGGCGCGCGTGCCCAGCCGCGCCACGCGGCCGTCGGCCAGGACGGCGGTCAGGCCCAGGACCTGCTCGCGCTGCGGAGGGTGGGATGAAGTTGGAGGGATGAGGGTCGGAGGGCGCGGGTACGGTATAGAAGAAGCATGGAGCAAGGCTGAGGGGGGAGGCAGACGCAGAGGCAACCGGGAAGCCTGCTGCCTTGTGCAGCTCTGGATAGCAACGCCCACGCCGCCGCAAGCGCGCGCGGCCAGCATGCCGCCACCGCTGCGGTCCATCAACCAAACTCTCTACCCCTGCGCCCCCCGTTCATCTCCCCCCTCCGCCCCAGCAGCGTGCCATTGTTCCGTAGCGGACGGCGTTGGTGCCGCTGGCGCGCGTGGAGGCCATGCCCCCCAGCGTGGCGTCAGCCCCAGGGTCCACCGGGAAGTGGAGCCCGCTGTCCCGCAGCTCTGCATTGAGCTGCTTGCGCGTCACGCCGGCCTGGACGCGGCCTGGGGGCGGCGCGGTGCGGGAGGGAGCAGGGTTGGGTGGACGGGGGGAAGGTAAAATGGCGCAGGGAGGCGCTGGTGTCGAGGCGCTAGAGAACAGCAGCTGCTTGTTAACGCGTGACAGGTCCACAGTGACGAGCCAGGACTTGTGACAATGCAATAGTCCGGCAAACACCGCGGCCACCCACAATCCATGTCGGCGGCGTTGATCTGCAAGGTGGCGGGGATGCAGGTGCAAGCAGTGACACGAGGGAAAGGTGCGCGCGTGCTTCGTGCGTGCTTCGTGCGTACGGGGCGCCGTCCTCCGAAAAGCAGCCTGTGCATAAGCCATGCAGCGCTGCTCAAAAGTAGCAGGTGTTTGATCCTGATGAAAGCCCTGTCACTCCTGCACATCCAGATGTCCAGAACAAGTATCGCCTGCATCCAGCCACAGACAGATGCTGGCGCGCACACACACACACACACACACACACACACACGCGCGCGCACACATGCACACATACACAAACACAAACACACACATCTACCTGCAGCACCGCGTTCATGCGTGACATGTCCAGGCACACGCTGCCCGGCGCCAGAGCCGCCACGTGGCCCTCGATCGACGTGCCCGCGCCAAACGGCACCACAGGCGTGCGGGACGCGTTGCAGGCGGCCAGCACGCGCGACACCTCCTCTGTGCTGCTGGGGAACAACACCAGCTCCGGCGGCATTGATGGGTGGTGCGATTCTCCGCGCCCATGCTGCTCAAGCGCCGTGTGCACGGTGGTTGCGTTGCCGCCCACCGCCGCTATCAGCGTCTCGCGAAGGGCCGGTGGCAAGTGACCGCCGCTTGCACTGTCCATTGTGCTGAACGGGTGCTGCAGGCCGCTCACGAGTGCGGCAGACGAGGAAATTGCCAACTTACTGCAGAAAAATGAGGCTGGTCGAATGCGCAAACCAGACAGCATGATACACGGCAGCGCGGGACAAAAAGATTTGATCAGATCATGCTTGCGAGAACGAAATCGAGGCCGTCAGGCAGCGTTATCATAGGTAACGCATCCATAGCAAGGGGGCGCACGATGAAATTGTACAGCACGTCCAAAACTGCTGGCGAGAAGACCTACCCGCCCATACCGCCACCCTCGCGCTGACAGGTCAGCATGCCGGCCAGCCTCGTTGGTCAGGATGGTGGTGTGGTGTGGTGTGTGTGCTCTTAGGTATGTGTGTGTATTTGAGCGTGCGCGCGTGCTTGCGTGCGCATGCGTGCGTGTGCGTGTGCGTGCGGGCGTGCGTGCGTGCGTGCGTGCGTGCGTGTGTGTGTGTGTGTGTGTGTGTGTGTGTGTGTGTGTGTGTGTTTGTGTGTGTGTATGTGTGTGCGCGCGGGTGTGCCTGCGTGCCCGCGCAAGCTCGTGCGTGCGCTGCCTGTTCTTGTGTGGGCGTATGCGTATCCACATGCGTGCATACGCATATGCGTGTGTGTGGGGTCTGCTCGACCTGGCATGTCACTAGAACTGCCGACTGAGTGTCACCTATGAGAATGTCAATACAATCAAAAAGCTTCTGTATACTTATAAATGTTTTTCAAATCAGGACTTTGAGACAGGCGGCAATTTTGATGGTGCCTCCTCATCAAACTGATAGTTACACTTCGAATAAAATGCATTCCCCAGCCACAAACCCCTCTGAGAGCTATGAGACATGCTCCTCTCCAGTCTGTACATGACTCTCCTCCGCTCTGAGCTTGGCGTAAGTAATGCGGTTGTCACGGTACGCCACTGCCAGGGCCCCGGCACCCAGCAGCGCGCCTGTCACGACCAGGATAGGCCCCAGCAGCGACCCGGTCGAGTAGCTCAGCAACCCAAAAGACAGCGGGCCAACGGCGCCCCCGAGCTTCCCCAGGGAGTTGACAGCCGGCAGCGCCACAGCGGTCACACCGGGGGCCGCCGACAGCACCAATGACCAGAACGGGCCTGTGAATGCACGTCAAAGTCGGTGGGAAGGGAGTGTCAGTCCACACATGGGTCAGTGGGAAGGTGTTGAGGCGGCAGGCGTGGGCGTAATGGCAACCATGCAGGAAACAGTGGGTCGCGAAGCCCCGCACGAGCATGCTGGCCGCTGCGCATTTTGCTCCTGCACCACCACCGCGTGGAACTACCTGTTGTGGCGTCCGCAGCCATCACGGCCAGCACCACGCAGATGAAGGCACCAACCACAGAGCCGACATGGAGGAAGAAGGGCATGACGCCAAAAGCCAAACCGCCAACCAGGAGCGGCAGGCCAATGTGCAGCCGCCGTTCTCCTGATATCTGGGAGTTTGTGGCGTGACCCCATCTCGTGCATCAGCATTGGTGACGAGCGGGTGACTATATCGCACACTAGGGCCCGCAGCAACATGCAGGGACAGGTTCCTGGGCATGCTCTGCCGAGCTGTTACCGCCTGGTGCGCACCTCACTGCTGTGCCCGATGGCCAGGCTTGCAGCCGCGGCCAGACCAAACGGCACCAGCGTTAGCAGGACTGCTTGCAACTGCGTATCCTTGCCACCGCACTGCTTTTCTCCAGCCGGCCCTTCTCTGTCGCTGCTGCCGCTGCTGCTGCGCCCTGATGCCAAAGGGACCGTGCCACCCGCAAGTAACGCATGAATCAATACTGGGGTCCTGAGGGAGGGAGATGTCGCGTCGCCACTTCACGGGTTGCAGTAGCAAGACCAGTGCATCAGGTGGCATGCAGTGCAGGCGTCGACAGGGCCTCAAGCTATCACCATGCCATCCCGGCCGAGTGCCTATTTGATCATGCAGCCACAAACAAAGGAAGCACGGCCCGCTTAGTTTTTCCCCCCTCACCAATACACAAGCGCATCTGCATGACAGCATAGGAGCGAGATAGTGTAAATGAGTGCTTAATCACAGCGGGTCGCAAGATGAGGGGATTTCGCTTCATGCAGTGGAAAGGCAAGTCAAGGCAAGGAGTACGTGCACGGCAGTTTTCGGTTGTCCTTGACTTTTGAGTCAGGAAGATGTGCCACAGCACCTGCATTCAATGCCGTACCCAGGACGCCAACCATGAAGCCACGCACCTAATGAGCAGTCCTGCAAAAAGCATGCAGGGCCAAAACGATTTGCAATGTTCAGTGGAGTTTGTACAGTGGCAAACGAGTGAGCATGGTAGGCATCAGGCAGCAAATGCACAAGTTTCCCCCCGCCACCACCCCTTACAGACATGCGCCACAAGTGTCCCCCCTCACCACCCCTTACAGACATGCGCCCACCTTCAGGATCTTGATGGCGACCTGCGAGCCACAGAGGGCAGCAGATAGCAGGCGATTAATGACGCCGTCCAAGAGAGGTGTTTGACCAGGATGGTAGGCACAAGCTAGGCTCAAAGCACGGCAAACTGCGTATGCCACCGACCCTGCAAGGTAGCCCAAGCCTCACCAGCCACCATATTCGTCGGTTGCGGGCTGTCTCAACTATCTGTTGCAGTGCCGACAATGGCCGCGATGGCAGCCCGTGTCCGTCAAGAATGCCGACTGCCGCGCTGCAATTGTCATCACGCTCCTGCCTGTCCAGCAGCAGCCTGTCGTCGTCATCAGCTGTCAGGTCATCTGGGGTGCCCTTGCCTTCGCGACGCCCCAGCTCCAGCTCAGCAGGCTGACCGTTCCCTGTGCCGTTGATCTCACCGGCCCTGGCCACGCCAACCCCTGGCTGCAGCTGCTCCTTGAGCCACCGCCGGTCCGCATCGTCCAGGAACCGCGCCTCCTCTACGCTGGCCGGCAGCAGCAGCCGCAGCACGCCTGCAAAAGCGACGGTTGCTGCCCCCTGTACCATGAAGAGCGTCTGCCAGCCAGCGAGGCCCAGGCGGCCGTCGGTGGCAAGAAGGGCGGCCGCTAGGGGGGCGGCGAGGATCTGGGCCAGCGCAATGGCAGCCTCAATGGCGCTGTACGCAAAGGTGATGTGCTGCGGCGGGTAGAACTGCGCAAGAACAGGTGCAGTGGTTGTCAAAGGAGGTTGTGGGCGCGCACCAGGTGAGCGATGCGTTCGATAGTGCAGGCCGCAGCGTCACTGTGCGACATTTGTAGTGTCTTTTGGTTGACAATAAGCTTATGACCTTGCGCAGTTGGGCGACTCACCTGTTCGCAGGTCCACCACATCCCGGGAAAGCACCCTGCACAACAAGCATTGGAAGGGCCGTACTTGATCAAGTCAACATGGGAAACATGCGTAACATGCTGCCAGCAGATGTCATCAAATGTACGTGTGCAGGCAAGCCAGCGCCTGCGTGCCAGGCCAGCACAGCAGTCAGCCTTCAGACGTGTGAGCTCAAACATGCCCTCGCCCCAATGCGCACCTGCCTCTGCTGCCCCCAGCATCACGCGCAGCAGGTAGAACGTTGCAGGGCCGCTGATGGCGGCGCAGCACATTGACACGACGCCCCAGGCGGCAGTAATGAGGGGCAGCCAGGTCTTTGGGCCCAGCCGCTGCAGGGCCAGGTTGCTGGGGACCTGGCGATGAGGGGGCAGGGGAGGGCATGGGTGAGCAGCGGGAGGAACGGGGGCAGATGGGTGGAAACGGGATGGTGCTCAGGCGGCTTTGCCACACAACTTGCAAGTCCAGAATTGGCATGCGGATCGACAGGTGCGCCTGTGACCTGCACTGGCAAATGCAGCCCTTACGCTGGTGCATGCCGCGTGCTCGGTAGGGCTGGTGGAACACACACAGCACGTGCCGCGCCCCTTTGCTTCCTCTTGCAGAACATGCGCGCGGCCTGGGACGCAGCTAGCGCCGCCAAACCTGCAGCAGAACGTAGCTCAAGGTGAAGGCCGCGGATCCCAGGCCAAACACCCGGGCGTTGAACCAGTCAAGATGGCAGAGCTGCAGCGCCGCAAAGCTCAGGGAGGTCCTGCGGAGGCGTGGATTTGGGCAGCGCCCCGGGGCTTGACCGCTGCAGGAATACTCATGCCTTCCATGAGCATCTCTGGACCTTTCAGTGTCACACTTGGTTTGAACGCAATCAGCCTGGCCTCCCCCGGCCACATTTGGACGCCCACCTGTCAATGTACGTGAAGCACACCAGCAAAACAAAGAGCGGCAAGAGGTTGCGGTGCGTCTTCGCCACAGCGGCGGGCAGGGCCCCGCTTGCATTGTGCATCTGAGGCGCTCAATGCGCAAATCACAATCGGCGCAGCCTCCTGCGCTGCCTGGCGACTAGCGTTGCGCACGGCGCTTTGCAACCGCAGCGTGTGCCGTGCGCCACTAACGAGCCTCAGCATCTAAGCGCAGTCGATGATGCTTCTGTTGTCTCATCTAGTGACTCAATGACAGCTGCTACGGTAGTCCCGCGATCCGAATGACACACCAGGCGCTGAGATCAGGTGAGCTTGAAGCAATCTGCGATACAGACGCGCCTAGCGAAGTTACACAGTCGTTCAGTTCTTGAGGGAATCCTGTGCCATCCTTCAAAACGCCGCTCCATCGCACCAGGACGGGGAAGCTGCAATTCAAACCAGTTTACGCAACAGACGCGGTACAAGAGCAGGGTGCCATGACTTTCCATGTCGAGAGGGGACACAGGGATATTTGCTAGCCCACTGTTGTCACAGATGGACGGTGGGGAGCACAGCAGCGGCAGCCACATAAGGCCGCTGCCCGCTGGCCTTGCTGCATCACTGCTGTCTGCGCCGCAAGTGCCTGATGTGGCTACGGCGGTCGCGGAACTCGTGAGCAACAGCTTGGATGCCGGCGCAACGCGGGTGTGCGTGTGGCTGACAGCGCTTGGGCCCGACGACATAGCGCTGACCGTCGATGACGACGGCGCCGGAGTGTCGCCCGGTTGCTTCGCGCACCTGGCAGCTGCACCTGGGTGCACCAGCAAGCTGCGCACTGCGGCACAGCTAGCTGCGGGGCCGCTCACCCTGGGCTTCAAGGTGAGGAGTGCTGGGTCGCACCATCATGGGGTTCGAGCCTGGCATGGGAGGGCGTACCCTTTGACGGCAGCTGCAGGCCCCGCCTGCCTGTAGACGCCCTGGATCCTGACAAGGACATACCCCCGACCACACCAAAACGACGGACCCCGCCCCCCCAGGGCCAGGCTCTTGCGGCTTTGGCGCAGCTCGGTGCGCTGGAGATCGTGTCGCGGGTGGCGGGCGGCTTCGAGACGTTTGGGAAGGTGCTGCGCGCGGGCCGCGAGCTGCGGTGCGGCCCAAACGCTGCGCAGCGAGCGCGCCATGGGACCACTGTACACGTCAGCGAGTTTGCTGTAGCGCAGCCCGTCAGACGGCGCGCGCTTCTGGAGGAGGCCGCGCGGGGGTCCCTGGCAGAGGGCATCAGGCGCAGCCTGCTCGCGCTCCTGCTGCCGTGGCCGGGGGTAGAGCTGGTCCTGAAGGACGCCACGCCAGCTGGGGCAGGGCGCGCGACCTTGCTGCATCTCGAACGCGTGAGCCATCGGGGAAGGGTGGCGTATGTCGCAAGCGCCCTTGCATAAAGAGGGATTTCAAGGCTGCGTGCGCTAGACTCCATAGATGCCAAGAGCTGGCTCACCCTGTGCCTCGTAGTAACGCCCTGTGCCTTGTCCACTTGACATCCTACAGACAAGTCACAGCCCCATCCTCCTCCTGCTATTGCAGGGCCGCAACCCCTGCGACATGTGGGTGCGCCTGGTCTGGGAGGTACCCGTTGGCGCCCTGCTGCCAGTCGCGGCGACGTCTCCCGCAGCGCATGTTGAGGGCTGTGCGCTGGCGGCCGAGGCGGCGTGCAGCAGCGGCGACCAGCGCCACACGTACGTCAACCGCCGCCCTGTGCGCTGCGCGCAGCTCGAGGGTCTGCTGGACGCCTGGTTTGCCCACGCAAATGCGAGGCGCATGGCGGGGGACGGCGCAACGCTGCTGGGCCGCAACGCACGCCGCGCACGGCCAGCTTGGGTCCTGTCAATATCGTGTGCGCCAGCCGAGGTCGACGTGACCTCAGAGCCGGACAAGTCCAGCTGCCTATTTAGGCGGTGGCCAGCGGTCTCGGCCGCCGTGATGGACGCGATCGCCCCGCTATGGGGGCCGCCGCCCTCCGCTGTGAGGGCAGGGCTGGCGCTGGGCGGCACCGGCAGCGGCGGCGGGCGCAGCGGTGGTTGTGGGCAGCGCGGCGGGTCCAGCACTGGCGGGGGGCACTGCGGCGCTCACGGCAGCAGCAAGGACAACGGCATCCGCAGGGTTGCCGGTGCCCCGGATTGCACAGCCGGCATCGCTGGCACGGGTAGCGGCGGTGCGGCTGGCAGGCTGGCTTGCACATGGGAGAGCCGCCTTGACCCGGCCATGCTGCTGGCCCCTGCGGTTGCCGCAGGGCAGCAGCTCGCTGACCTCACACACACGGCCAGCGGCGCCGGCGTGGTGCCGGCGCCGGCCGCACCCAGCTCACGCCAGGCCGCGGGCCACTTTGTCAGCTCGCGCTCAAGGAGCCTCGCCCACCTTGCTCACGGGCTTGAGCAGCCAGCAGCGCCACCGCTGGCAGTCATGCAAGCGGTGCCGCACCCCCAAATTGGGTCTGCAGAGCCGCTGCTCTCACCGCAGCCAGCGCCACAGCTTGCGGCGGGTGCAGGCAACAGCAGCGGAAGCTCGCCGCGGCCACCCAGCCTGCTAGGGTTGCTGCAGCAAGCCATGGAGGGAGCTGAGAACACAGCAGCTGCAACAGCAGCAGTCAAAGACCCTGCCAGGCCTGCAGCCAACCAACATGTCGTGTCAGGCGCTCAGCAGCTCCCAATAGTTAGGAGCGCAGGCGAAACATCGCTGCCTGCGTCACCGCTGCCAGGCTGGTTGGCTGAGCCTGGCTCACCATTGGACGCCATGGCGCCCAGCCCTTTGTACGGGGTGCACGCCGTGCCAGAGCAGCAGCGTCAGCAGCAGCACCATTGGCAGCAGCAGGATCAGCAGCAGCAGCAGCAGCAGCAGACACCACAGCACCGCAGCTTGCCGCTGCACCAGCAGGACCGGCAACCTGAGCACCAGCCGCGGCAGGGGCATGTGCCCCTTGATTGCAAGCAGGACCAGCTGCCATCGCCTGGGAACAGCCAGCCAAGTCCGGCTGATTGGGGTTGCCTTGGAAACTCCGCCCACGCCATGCGCCTTGACCTGGGATCCAGCCCCAGCAGTGGGGCGCCTGCGCTGGCCCAGCCAAGCACCAGCAGCGATGGCAGCCCGTCCATTATGACAGCAGAGCTGGGTGCCCTGCCTGCATCTCCCTCAAGCAGCAGCCCTGGCAGCTCAGAGCCTGGTGTGCCGCGCGTCATGGCTGATCTTCAAGAGAGGCACGGGGTAGGCGCCGGCTGGGAGCATGGCAGCCCAAGCAACCCCAATGCACCACTGCGAAGTAGTCATTTCTACGACTCACCGCTGGGGATGCCGCATGATGATGTGGGCGGGCATGCTTCGCCGCCGCCGCCATCACCGCTGCCGCCATACGGGTGTCATGTTGGCAACCCTGACGATCAGCAGCAGCGGCCCCCGCACCAGAAGCAGCAGCAGCAGCAGCAGCAGCAGCAGCGGCGGCAGGAGCAGCAGGACCTGCATCACCCCATGCATATCGATCAGTCTCCAGGGCAGGAGCACCCTACAGTGAGACGCCTGCCGCTGGAAGGTGCGCCTGCAGCTGCCGAGGCTGGCGATGCCTCTGACGGCTGCTCCGCAGCACCACCAACTCAGGAACAGCACACTGCAATGAGTACACCATGGCAGCCAGCACACCAGGCTCAAAAGCAGCAGCAGCAGCAGCAGCAACAGCAACAGGAGCAGCAGGAGCAACAACCGCACCAGCAGCAACGACGACAGCTTCAGGAGCCCGATGGCAGCGAGAAAGCCAGCGCAATCCCAGTGGCTTTGGCCACCGAAGTGACGCCCCCAAGGCCTGCGCAGCGGGCAGACCTGCTGCCCCCATTTTCAGAGCGCGCCGTGTGGTCAGCACCTCCCCACCCCCGTGCGGCCAGGCGTGGCGCCCACTCCAACCCGCTGTCCAGCCTGTTCATCGCCGCTGGCGACCAGCAGCGAGGTTGCTTGTGCAAAGCAGCAGGAAAGCGTGAATTTGCATCGGGCAGCGGCGCCCGGCTGGCTGCCCTCCCCCATGCACCTGCAAGCAGACGCCGGAAGACTGTGCCAGGGGCGATGTCGGCGCTGCGGCGCCATCGCAGGCAGGAGCAGCTGCTGGACAGCACAGCAGCAGCCGGTGCAGTCCAGGGTGCGGACACGGCAGGCGCGCTGCCGAGTGAGCTGGCTGCAACTGCTGGGTTGGTGCCGCAGGAGGGAAAGAGGCAGGTCAAGCGGGTGCGGTTCAACAGCAACGGGGGCCTGGACAGCGGCAGTGACGGCGTGCGCGAGATGGACAGGGCCAGCGACGCCACCGGCAAAGGAAGTGGGGGCGGGCGGCCGTCACTCCCTGGTCTAGGTGCCGCGCCCTCATGGCATGCGCCAGGCGCAGCGCCAGCGCTCATTCACCGCAGCAGCGGTGGTGCGGACGAACACACTGCAGCGGGCAGCGCCGGCGATGAGGCTGCTGTCGCATGCCTTGGCGAGCTGCAGCGCGAGGCGATTGCGAGGGGGCTGGGGGAGCTGGTGCCCAGCTTAATCGCGCGGGAGGACCTGCGGCGCGCCAGGACGCTAGGCCAGGTGCGGCCCCATTTTCCATGGCCATGCCAATCTAGGGAGGGGCCTCAAGCCGGGGCCAGACCGCGTGAGCCGTTGCTTGCTGGCTCTGTTTGGCGCACACCACATCTTAATTGGCATGCCCACGCCTGCCAATGGCGCTGCGCACTTGCTCAGATCAACCGCAAGGCCGTGGTTGCCGTCTGCGGCGGCGTGGTGGTAGCGCTAGATCAGCACGCGGCGGACGAGAGGGTGCAGCTAGAGGCGTTGCAGGCGCAGCTGGCACAGGAACGCGCGGCCAGGCCAGCGGAGCCGCCCCCGGCTTCAACTGCTGCACATCAAGTCAGCGGCGATCTGCTGCAGCAGTTGGCGCTGCGGCCTGGACAGGTGGGCGCATGGATGGCGCTGGGCAGCGCTTGTCTGAAGCCTGCATTGCAACCACAACCTGGCAATGATTGTTGGTCACGTGGTGTGCCAACGGATTGCCGGGGCTGACAGACCAGTGTGCCAGGGCTGAGACACCAGTGTTCATGAGCAACACCTGCAGATCAGATCTTCTGATGACCGCTGGGCTTCTGTCGTTTCTGGCCCCGCGCCAACACCTGCAGCCGCTGGACCTGAGTGCGCCAGAGCAGCAGGCCCTTAAAACACACGCAGCTCTGGTGGAGCGCTGGGGCTGGCGCGTGACCTCTGCTGGCCCAGCCCTCGGGGAGACGGCGGACGCGCCCGTCAGCACCAGGGCGTCGCCGGCGGCGGTGCTGTCATGCGTGCCGCTGCTGGCCGGCGTGGCTCTGGGGGGCCTTGACCTGAAGCTGTACCTCCACCAGCTGGCAGAGTGCGGCGGCGACGCTGGCGGCGCGGGCCCGCCCGGTGTGCTCCGCGTGCTGCGCAGCAAGGCCTGCCGCGGAGCGGTGATGTTCAATGACGCACTCAGCCCGCAGCGGTGCGCTGAGCTGGTGGACCGCCTCAGCACCACACAGCTACCCTTCTGCTGCGCGGTGAGGCTTGCTGGAGGTTAATGTCGGTGTTGACGGGGGGGTAGGGGCGCTGCACCTGCTACCTGGCGTTGGTCGGATACCTTCCAAGAGCAGCGGGGCAGGCCAGGCCACTCATGGATTATATGCACAGGCTTGTTCGTCGCCTTCTGTCATTTGCCCCCATGTACGCCGCAGCACGGGCGGCCGACGACGGCACCGCTCGTGGACCTGCGGGAGCTGGGACCTGCGCTGCGGCGGCTGGTGCGGCACGGGGCTGGCGGCGACCGCGACCGCACACAGACGCAGCAAGGGGCACTTGGTGACGGAGTGCGGCGGTTGAGTGTCGAGCGGCTCGCCAGGCTGGTGGGGCAGGGGACCCAGACCAACGCACCTCCCTGAGATTTTACAAATGAAACATCACACTCCAGCGCTTGCAATCACGCTTTCTCTCGTGCCTTGGTGAAACGGCACAGGGTCACTAAGCAGGTGATGGATTGGGTTTTGTATTGACACGGACGAAATTAACGGGGCACACAAAAGATATGAATGTCACAGGCAGGCAAAGAGCTGGGTGGTCATGCCTGCGCACGAGAGGGCAGCAGGTTCATCACGAGCTTCGACGCGGCACCCTGCAGCAGCCCAGCCTGGAACGCCGCGCCCTGCAGCATGGTGATGCCGCTGCCGACCCTGGCCCTGGCGCCCTGGAACAGGCTGTAGCCGCTGCCAAACGCCCCCTTCACATAGCTGATGGCGCTTGAGACAGGGGTGGAGGGTTCGGTCCCGTTGCTGGCGGGCGGATCCCTGGGCTTGGGCGCTGCGTCGCAGACCGTCTTCATGATGGCCGCGGCCTTGCTGTCACCCACCAGCAGGGCCAGCAGGTCGCGCCCCTCGTTTGAGTAGGCCTTGCCCGCCGCCACGTGCTGCAGCAGCGGCGCGCTGGGGTCCACCTCCAGCGTGGGCAGCGGAGTGGCCACGTAGCAGAGGGTGGACAGGAACACGTTCTTTACCTGGGTGGGCAGCATGCCCACCAGAGGGGGCACCAGGTCCACCTGCTTGGCCAGGCCGTCAGTCAGCTGCTTCCGCAACCCCACAGGCATGGCGTCCAGCGTGCTCGTCAGCAGCTTCACCGTGGTGGGCTTGTAGTCCTCCGCGATGCGCGCCACTGCCAGGGTAGTGGCGTTGCTGGCCAGCTCGGTGGAGTTCTCGCCGCCGCACGAGGCCTCGGGCGCATACATTGTGCTGGTGTGAACAGGAGGAAGGGTGCAGGAAGGGGATGAGGCCAAGCAGGGCGCACTCTATGACTAGGCGGGGCGTCACCACATAAAGATGCAGGCTCTTGCACAATTGCAACAATTTACACTCATCCTGGGGCGTTCCCTGTAGCATGTGTGTGGCCTGATCGCCAAGTACAGCCGCCCCCATGTATCCCCCAGGCCCTATCTTCACCTGCACATCCGCGCGACCCATGAGTCTGCCCTCGCCCTGCCGCCGGCGCTGGTGGCGTTGTTCCGCGACGCGGCGCCCATCGTCACCTCGGCCAGCGTGACAGCCCATGACTGCAGGCCCACAGTGGGATCGCCATCGTGGGGCTTGAGCAGGCCGCTGAGGGGGCAGACCTCGCGCTTGAACATCCAGGGCAGGTTGGCCACGTCCTTGAGGGACAGGCGGCAAATGGAGGCAGGCAGGCGCTCCAGCAGGGCGGCGGCGGGGGGCTGCAGGTTGGGCGGGATGAGCGCCATGATGGTAGTGCGCCGTATGACAGGCATCGTCTGGTTCACCCTGGACAGAGGGGCAGGAGGGTGGCGGGCTTATACATTCATCAGCAAGTGCCTGCATGCATCAGCTCGAATACTCCAAAGCATTTGTCTTGCACTCAGCCTGCCTCTCAAGCCCACCCAGTTGCATCCCTAGTTTGGCAGGCGACTGTTTGCTATTGGTGGCTGCAGCAAAGTAGACTCACCACCAGTCGCTGATTGTGTTCAGGGGCCCCTTGGAGGCGGCTGTCATGAAATCAGGCAATGACAGGTCGGGCAGCTGCACACGCGGCTGCAGGCTGCTTAGGAGTACATTAGAGCGCTGCTTGAACTCTTCTATTCTATCCTCCGTGTCGGCGCTCATCTGCACAACAGTGCCGGAGGTGAGCACGATGGAAGTGAAGCTATGCGTGCAATCAAGCAAGTTTCTTTACCTGCACGCCATCAGGCCCCGCCGCACGGCAGGTACAAAGCGCAACACCAAGTACCCTGCTTCGCGAGGCACTGCCCAGCCTGGGCGCGCCTAGGCACAGGTACTGTGCAGTCGCTTGGCAGCAGCTGCTCTCACCTGGTACCTGCCGTTAACGCACGCCTCTGTCGGCCGCTTCAGCAAATCGCACAGCTTTGCGTGCAGGTTGCCAGAGCCAGTGCGGCCCAGCACAAACATCGTCATCACCGGGACAAGGGACACGTCGTAGGGGCACTGCAGGAGGCATGGGTGAAGGCGATCCCAGCAGTGCGCGATGATGCTGAAACCTCAGCAAGGCACACGCAATACACAGCGGCGTGTGTTTTGTGCGCCACTGTGAGCTCAAGTCGAGCGCTGCCACGCAACCAGTCTAGCAACTGCCGTCAAGCAACTCCCGCGCCAGGAGGGCTGACGGCACCAAGCTCGCACCAGGTCCCAGCGCATGTCCTGTGGTATCTTGGCAAGCGTGGTGTTTGGCAGCTTGCACAGAATGTCCGGCAGGGCCTGCAGCGACATCCCGAGGGGCGCCAGCGCCACCGGCACCGTCTTCTCCAGCAGCCACTGGCCCACCGCGTCGGTGGTGTCGATTGACAAGCGGTGGAAGAGCGGCCCCACGTGCTCCCCGCTCGTAAAGTTGCAGTACTTGCGGGGGTACAGCATGATGTGGCAGATGCTCTTCTGCAGGTCCGCCGCCTGCGCCGGGCTGTCCGCCGCCAGCAGCATCAGAGCGCCCCCAAAGGTGAGTGGGTTGGCTGCGGCCTCCTCAATTTTGGCATCATGGTCAAGGCCCGGGACGATCACCTCGCGCCGGCTGATGGACTTGAGTGGGCAGATCTGCGCACAGGTGCATAGATGCAGGCAGCCTCGGCGCTACTTGGGCTGCCGAGGGCGCAAAACTCGTGCAGGGCAGCTTCCCTTTTGAAGGCAGCAATGAGTGGCTGCAATCAGCTGCAGCAGCGGACAGTGAGCGCGTGGGCGCTTGACGTGCGATCAACATGCAAACCTAAACGGACCCAGCTGCCTCACCTGGTTGGTGGCGATGGGCGGCACGTTGCCAATGGCATCAGGCCCCATAGCACACAGCTCCTTTGGCAGGTTCTGAAAGTACATGTTGAGGGCGGGGCCCACCACCGCTGGCGGCACGATGCTCTCTATCCACCTTAGTGACATTGGCAGTGGTGCCGCGGCTGCATATGTGAAGAGCTGCAGCACCATCAACCCCAAGGCCCAGCCCGAGCCGCGCGCCACCATTGGCAAGCCAGCTCTGCGCTGCTGGTCGCGCGGCCGGTGCCGCATCGGCCCTCCTTCCAGCTGTCTGGTATGCTTCCAAATATTTTTGACTGTTATATCTGACCGAATTAGTCGCCTACGGAAGGAAGCTCGCGCGGACGCGGACAAGCAGCTACCGCCCTGCGATGCGTTTTCTCAATCTGCCAGTGATACGAACACCGTTGAAGGATTAGATTATCACAAGTGACTTCTTGATTAAGAGTATCGAGGGGACTGTACATGCATCACGATGTCACCTGAAACTGCCACCAAGCAGGTTCCACGCATGCTGTATGCGGCTAGGGACACGGCCTGCTCTTGGCGGCAGACAGCTATGCTGGATACCATAGAGGCGATCAGCGTTCTCTGAGTGACGACCAGCTTGCTCCTGCTTGATTGGGAGAGCTGGCTGTGCACCCCCTGTGACCGTTGCACATGCGCGACGCACCCCTCTTGAATTGATGGCGAATCTGCAGCATAAGGAAGGTGGAGCGACCCACAGAACAACAGGGAGAATCATAGCTGCCTGGTTAGCAAGAGCAGGCGTCTGTTGGGCTGCAACTGGATTGCCTGACTCGAGGGACGGTCATGAGAAGGGCTGCTTCACAACAGCCAGATAGATTAAAAGTACAAGAGCTTGCTGTTCTACACAAACACAGCCTTAAAGGCATTGGTTGGTCAGATGATGCGTCTTGGGGGTCACGTGACCTCAGTACATCGCATCCTGGCCTTGTATGAGGCACGGCTGCATCACCACACTTCATCGTGCCCCTCAGTCTTCTGTGCCGAACGGCTGCGAGGCGCTCTTTCCCCCACTTTGACTCGCACACCCCATGATTTGGCATCCAATGCTCCTAGTGATTCGGTGCTGGCTGCTCTCACGTCTGCCTCCATCAACGGCGACAGCCGAGCTCATCAGTCAGTGACACTGGAACTCGGTCACAACCTGGTCACAACACATCAGTGGTGGTACCGAATCAGACACTCCGTAAGGTGATAAGGTACGTGCTCTGACAAGCGTTTAGCATCCGTCAAATTTCTGCAGTGTTTTTGACCTTGGTTTTTTTGTACCCATATGCACACACTTGCCTCCCATCCCTGAAAATCGATCTGATATTGTACGCGACCACACCTACTGTATACGGGTGCCAAGCAACAACGCATCTGATGAGACGGGCTACGATTAATCTAGAAGGGTCCCAAGATCGAATGTGCAAGCTGCAGTCCCGCCCATGGTGTGCGTGGCACCAACAGCGAGCAGCGGCTGCACGAGCGGCGCCTCGGCGAACACACCGTGCTTGCCGCACGAGCGCAGCACAAGGCGGCGAAATAGAGGCCCAGAGACTGCAGCAGCACCAGGTTTGTGGCGGTTCAGGCTGCTGTTTACGTTGCGGCAGAAAAGACGTCTGCAATTTGCCGCCTCACAACGCCACCACGCTCAACACGCAGGCGCTGCTAGCCCGCATCCTGCAGCTGCCAGCTGAACAATTGCCAAGATTTGTTGACGAGGAGCGAGAGCGCCTCACCTTTGGGTTCCTCTCATACCTCTCCGAGCGTGCACGTGGTGGGGGCGAGGGCGCGGCAAGGAGGGGCGCCGCGCTCAGCTGGGGCAGCGGCGGCAGCGGCGGCGGCAGCGGCGCTGCTAGCTCTCAAGAGCGGGCCCGGCTGTCTGAGCTGGCGTCGCGGCTGGTGGCACTCAGAGAAGCAGCAGGTGGGGCACGAGCCGGGGCCTCGCTGCCGCCGCCTCTTGGTTGGCACCACGCGTGCACACACATCCGCGGACCCACCACCGCGCGTGTAAGTTCAGGGTTTCTTCCTGCCCTCAGGCAGGCCTTGCAACCTCCTTTTATACCCGCTGCCCCGCACGCCGCACGTGATGTCCAGATTGGGAGTCCGCCCAGCGGTCCCTGCCGCCGCTGGCGTCGTCCCTGGCCTACTCCAACTACGCGGCCTGGAGGGAGGGCCACCCCGGGGAGGAGCTGGCTGACGTGGCGCCGGGGGTCAGCCTGGAGGACCTCTACCGCGCCGGGGAGAGGGAGGTGAGGCGGCCCGGAGGTGGAGGGTTGGGGTTGAGAGGGCAGGGGTTGCCTGACACGGTGCATTCCTGTGCAATCGGTGGGCTTATCGCCCTGCTTTTGGTCAGCACGCCAGCTGAAAGGCTTACCAAGACGCGGCACTTGACCGACTTTAGCAGCCGCCACCTCACCAGTGGCACCACCTTCCCTCAACTCCAGGAGCTAAAGCTTCAGCGCGGCAGCGCATTGCGGCCCAAGGAGGGCAGCGCCCTGGACGATTTTGCGCGGCGCGGGCCCGGTGCGGCGTTCAGCTCTCAGGCGGCGGGTGCGATGGAGCGCGTGCGGGCGCGGCTGATGGGGTACCAGGACGACGGCGCGCGCGCTGGTGCGGGGCTGGATGGCGCGGCCGCAGCCACCTCTCCAAGCAGCACCAGCAGTGGGGCCAGCAGCAGCAGCAGCAGTGGCACCGGTCGCACTGACGATGGGGGCCCCGCAGCGCAGCGTGTGCTGCGCGCGCTGCTGCTGGAATGCGAGTGCCGCGGGGAGCGGGCGCAGGCACTGGCGGAGGCGTGCGTGCCGCCCGGGCTGAGCGTGGCGGCCGAGAGCCCGGGGGGCCCGCGCATCAGCATCTGCAGCAGCCCGCCGCGCCTGCTGGCGGCAGTTGCGGCCGAGCAGCGGCGGCTTCAGCAGCAAGCTGAAGGGGGCGATGACGGCACTCCTGGCAGCGGGACACCTGCAATGCTGCCATCTGGCGAGTTGGCGGCTGCGGTGCTGGCTGAAGTTGAGGAGGATGTGCGCGAGTATGAGACCCACGTGTGGAGCCGGCTCTCACCACTGGAGCGGTATGGTGCCACGCCAGGCTCGTTGTGATGAGACTGTCAGGGCTGGAGTGCTGTAATGTGGCTGGCCAACCAGGTTGCGTTGCATAGCATGTGGACGTATGGCGTAGGCATCCTTGGCAACACAGCCATGAGCGAAACATCGTCCTTACCCTCATACATGTCAGCCACAGATTACTCATGGAGCTGAACAATCCTGAACGTGAAGCAGATGCCAACAACAGAGTGGCATTACTGACCCTGTAAATGATAGCAATAAAACGCAGTGCCGAAAAGCGGGCAGCCCTGTTTGATAGCGCTATGCGCCCTTCATCATACGTTGGACACTCAGCTTTGTAGCAATCAGCTGAACTCAGCAACGCACGCACCTGATGGCGCCGCCGGCATCTGCCAAGAAAAGCGCCGATCTGAGCAACACTCCTACCGCTTGCAACACTTACTACACCATTCTGCCGCTCGCAGGCCCTGGGCACAGTCACGCGGCCACTGCCTCGCGGGGCGTGGCCCGCAGCATCATGCTGCCGCCCCTGGGCTGCAGTGTGACGTGGTAGCAGGCGCGCCGCTTGAGGTCGTCCGCATCGGTCGCGTCCCCCTCCCACCTGAAGCGCCCCACCAGCATCGACACCACCACCTGCAGCTCCAAATCAGCAAGGGCCCGGCCAACGCAGTCGCGCGGCCCAACGCTGAATGGTATCGCATCCGGCACGACGCCCTGCTGCTGCTGGGGCTGCTGCTGCTCGCCGCAGCCGCCGTTGCCGGCCATGGCCTCCCCCTGAAGGTACTCTGCGCCGCCCTCCGACCTGGCCAGCCAGCGCTCTGGGCGGTACTGTGTGACGTCATCGCCGTAGAGCCTCGCCTGGTTGGCTATGGCGTAAGGCGACACCATCACCATCACACCCACGGGGACGACGTGGCCGCACAGCTACGGGATCAGATGGGGCGAGCATAGCGAAGGCAAGGGGGAGAGCGAGGCATGAGCCGCCGGGGTGTCCAACAGGCCTGCAGACCCAAGAAACAGTGCGGCAAGCGCGTGGCCGCGCCAGGCGATGCCACCGCATGCTCAGCATTTCGGAACACCTGCCCATCTTCCCCCACCTCGACGGGGCGGTCTGTGAGGCGCGTGGTGCCGAGGGATGCGGGTGAGAACAGGCGCAGCGTCTCCTTGACGACCGCCCCCAGGTAGGGCAGGCGCGCCATGTCGCTCCACTCAAAGTCGCGCGGCACAGGGTGCTCGGGGGTGGGGGCCAGCCCCGCGGCGGCCAGCTCGCGTGCGAGGCGCTCCTGGCAGTCCGGGTAGGCGGCCAGGGCGGCCAGGGTCCAGCTGATGGCGTGGCTGGTGGTCTCAAAGCCCTGGGGAGGGGGGGGGTCGGGGGCCATCAGCATGGACAAGGTGAGGGTTGAGGGCCTCATTACAAAGTGCAGTGATCCCATGACAAGACGATGCGGTCTGCTGCGATCACGGCCAACTAGATACCGGTGGACCAAAGGACACAGACTACGGTACCACTACAAGATGGAAAACGCAACGTCGACTGGCAACTGAGAAACTATCCATTTTCAACAATGTTTGAGCTGCCAGTCCAGTCTCACCGCTCCAAAGACGACACCAATTTCTGCCTTGAGCTGGTTGTCGTTGAGCTTCTGACCCGTGGCGGGGTCCACCACATTCAGCAGGTGACCTGGGTAGCGGGGGCCACCGAGGTGAGGAGCAGGTTGCACCGTCAATTCAGCGACATCACGAGGCTAGGTTGCTTGGGTGTGCTAGAGCGCAACATTGCAGGTACAAAATCGCGCGTGCCTCACTGCAATGACTCACGCCCACGCTCGCAGATAATCTGCCCTCACCAGTGATGGTGTACTCTGGCGGGGGGCACTTGCGGACAGCCGCCACCTTGATACCCAGCTGCCGGTCGTGCTCCCGCAGAACGCGCGCTTCAGCACGCGCCTGCATGCACATGGGAGATGCAGCTGTTGACAAAACAGCCCGAGGCGCGTGGCACCACGCAGCGCGGGCAAGCCGTGGCGGCTGTCGGCGCCAATGGAAGGCTGCCACTGGCAGCAACAGCGCCCATGGCTCCAGGGCCCAAGACTCTGCGTTGGGCCCCAGCTTAGCCCAGCGCAAAAAGCAAAACTGTCAACCGCAACAGTGAGATCACAGCCCGTCTGCATTCCATCAGCCCAATCTCCCCCCAGGCCCCCAGGCCGCCCACCTGGCTGTCCCACAGCGCCATGATGGGCCTCAGGGGGTTTGTAAAGCGCTGGTGCACCGCCTCCAGCACCTCGTTGAAGATATCCATGTACTCGCTGGGCCTGGGGGTGGGGTTCAAGGCGGATGGGGGGGGGGCGGGGAGATGTGGGTGGTTTCAAGGGAGACTTGCTTGCAGAACCAGGACTCTACCTTCGCACGCTCGTCAAGCACACCACAACTCCCAAGCTGTACCTGGCTGGTTACAGAACCTGGACATTTAACGCCCTTGATGCTGGTTATTGCCGACCCCATGCAAGTGTTGAGCGGGGCCAGCGACGACCAGGTACTGGCCCCCGCCCCAGTGCCCCCCTCACGAAGGCCCGTCACTGCGCTCACTTGCCGTCGACGCCCTGCAGGTCCTCCCCAAACAGCAGGCTGCCCATGACGTCACTCGTCACCTTCTTCGCCATGTCAGCCACGTCTACTTCACCCCCAGGGCCTGCGGCCGTGATGCGTGAGGCTGTACGGCGCGTAGCGTCCACCGTAAACGGGAACACCTGTGACAAGACAGGGCCGGTTGAGGTAGCAGGGAGGGGAAGCAAGGGTGGGGAGTGGCGCCCAAAATTTGGCAGGTTGAAGACGTGATCAAAATAGGTCAGTGTAGCCCAGGTCCTGCCATCCTAGCTGACAACCGGACCGTCCAGGGTCTTCGATTTGCCACCTTGCGGCGACCGCGGCCTATCGCGATCGTGGCCCCAGCGTGTGCGCCCTGCACTGGCCCCGAGAGGCGCACCTGCTTGAGGCTGGCGCCGCTGAACGCCGGCGCGACCGCCGTCCGCACCGCTTTCCAGGTGGCGCCGTCGTCTAGCGTCAGCATGTTGGGGGTCTGGGGGTGCACGCCCACCTCCAGGGCTGCGTACAGCTGGCGCGCCTTGGGGATGTAGGATGGCCCGCGGCGCAGCACCTTGCCGGCCTCTGAAGGGTCGGCCAGCAGCACCATGGGGGTGCCCAGCAGACGCAGCCGCACCAGGGGCCCCAGGGCTGCCGCCCATTCGGCAAGGATGATGGGGGCGCGGTCGCTGAGGATGGCGGGCAGGTGGCCTGCATAGGGAGCGGAGCATGGAACCAGCAAGGTGGTGGTGGTGGGGACTGCCGCGAGGACCCTGGAGTCCGGCCGCTAGACCTGTCAAGTGACGCAGGTCACTGTCACGTCCTTTTGACGAATGTGACAGATCTAGAGGGTAATCAGCGCCCTGTGCACCGCCCGCACCGGTCACAAGGCTTGGCGCCTTGGGGGACGGGATGCTCCGCATTCGCCATGCAGCGAGCGCTGCGCCGCCAAACGCCCAAAGGGCGGCCGAAAGGAGCAGCGTGCCGAGCGCGCCTAAAGCCACGGCAAACATCGTGGAATGTTTTTTTCCTGCGCTTTGAGCTGGCTCTAAGCGTGCGAGTCACTCCACGCCAACGTTGGAAGCTGTGCGCTCAGACACAAAGGGGCGATAGATAGGCGGTAGCGAGGACTAATTCTTAAGATAATCTACCCTCAAGATTGATTGCCATGCACAGCCTCACTGGAGACTTTAGCCATTACCACCACAAGGGGGGTGGATGGCTGGTCAGCACTCCTAATGGTGACGCAGCGAGCATCCGGAAGCAGGTGCAGGCTGGTATGATTTTTTGTCGTATTTTGTGTCAATCAGCACTGTTGTGGGTTCACTGGTCGCCGCACGTTGATTCGATCCTGGCGTGTTTTGCCTGCCTTGCCCGCTGCAGTTGCTTGTGCTGCTGCAGGATGACCAGCCGGCAACTGTCCACCGCACCCGGCACCCAGCCTGTTTCCCGTAGAATCCCTCGGGGAATTGCAATTAATCCCTCGGGAACCCTTCGGCAAGCATGCATTTTGTTAAAATTTTCACGCATTAACGTACGTTTCCCATCCCCCCGGGGATCCTTCGGGGCTGCCGTGCTGACCTGGCCGCCTCGCAGCCGGCTGGTCTCTCATGCCAACGCAACTGAGTTACGGTATGCTGTAGAGATCTATTTGAATCAGTTCGAACACCATGAAAATCTGGTTTGCATCACACCAGTGTTGACCAGGCAGCAAGTTTGCCGCGTTTGACTGCACCATTGATCTGGTGGCCAGGGCATCAATCTTGTGTGGCATCAGGCGAACATCACAATCATGGAAGTGAATGAGGACGGCGAATCACACGCGGTGCGGGAGGAGGACGCGCGTATAGACGCTCTTATCGAGAGCGAGCTGCAAGAGGCCCGCATCTCCGTGCTCGGGCTTGAGCAGCAGGCGGCAGTGTCGATGGCCGTATCTTCTTGCCTTGAGAGCTGCGTCCTGGGCATGGAGGCGATCTACATCTCGCGCGAGGACGCGCCGGTGTTGGCGAGCGCGGTGGCGAGCGGCAACTGGGCACAGGAGCCCGAGCCGCAGCCCTGCGGTGTCGACTCGTGGCTTCGATGGGCGATGCCAGAGGCGTCGCCTGTGCCGCCGGCCGCTGCGACGGGTGGCACTGCAGCGGCAATCACCAAGTCGTCCTCGACCAGGCCCGGGTCCGCCGCAATGCGGATGAGCCGCGGCGACGCCGGCAGCGGCAGCCGACCCCGCACACCAGTTATGCAGCAGCAACAGCAGGCGTCAACACGGCCTGGGTCATCAAGCAGCAGCGCATTCAATGCCGCAATGGCTGCTGCGGCAGCACCCGCTGGTGATGCAGCCAGAGCTATGGCGGTAGCGACCGGAGCCGGCAGCAGCAGCGGCAGCGGCGGTGGCAGCCAGCCAGGCAGCCGGCAGGCCAGCACAGGGGGGGCAAAGCCGCCCTCTGCCCAGGGGCAGTCGCGCCTGGGAAGCTCACAGGCCCAGCGCAGCACGCGCGGCGGAAGGAGTGTCGACGTCACTGGAGGCACCGCTACCCGCCCAGCGCCGGCACCCCACAAAATCGCAGGCGTGCGCGATGCCGCCTCCTCGGCTCGCCCCTCGCCACAGCAGGCGGCGGCAGAGGAGAGGCTGCGACAGGAGCTGGCCCTGCGGCGTCAACAGGAGGCGCTCCTGAGGGAGCAGAGGGGCAAGGAGGACGCTGCGCGTTCAGCGGTGGCGGCGATGCAGAAGGACATGAAGGGCCGGGAGTACGGCTATGACCGCAGCGGCAAGGTGGTGCTGCTAGCGCGCGCCAACCCCGACGCGCTGCCCACCACGCCTGCGCCTGGAGCACGCATTGCGGCGCCGGCGCCGGCGCCAAATGCGGCGAGCACAGCGACGGCGGGCAAGTTGCCCTCCTTGCGGGCTCGGCAGCAGTCGCCGCCAAGAGCGGCAGGGGAGGACAGCACAACAAACCAATTGCCAGCGGGGAAACCTGGCGGCAGCAGTAGTGGCGTTGGCGAAGGCGTGGCCAAGAGCAAGGGCGGGAACAGCAGCACCCGGGTGCAGGACTTTGTTGAGGTGCCTTCGCGGGCGCAGCCCTCTGCCTTGGAGACACTCAAGCCAGGTGTTGGCGTGGTGCTGCGGGCGGGTGCGGCTGTGAAGCAGGGGCCGCGCACAGCGCCGGTCGCCGGCCAGCTGACACGAACGCAGTATCAGCAGGCGGCTAAAACAGCAGCGCAGCAGGAGCGCAACAGGGCGGCCTCTGTCTTAGCGGCGCAGCAGCAAGCAGCTGCAGCTGCCGCAGCAGCGGCTGGGCCGATAGGGGCGGCGGGGACACCCACAGGGTCAGCAGCACGAGGCTACCGGAGTGCAGGCAGCACCACCCAGGGTGGCAGGCACCCACGCTCGGGTGGTGCGTCAGCCTCCGGGCCAACAGCAGGCTTAAGCCGGCAGGCCAGTGCAGCTGCAGCAGTTGAGGGACAGTCTCCTTCCGCTGGGGACCCCAGAGGGCCAAAGCCTCCTGGCGCAACGGTTGCAGACATTTTGTCTTCGCTGCCGTCATCTGCTTCGCCACTGCTGGGAGCAGGGAAGCGTGAGAGCGGGTCATCCGCGCGGCAGCAGCAGCAAGGCGCCTTGTCTCTCCAGCTAGACGTCAACCTCGCCCTCACCAAGGTGGGAGGAGCGACTATGGGGTGGCCGGTCTGAGAGGGCTTGGTGCCTGTGCTTTAAATGGAAACCGTTTTTGAGCGCCGCTATTGGTGCAGGCGTGTGACCAAATCAGCCCCACGGCGTCTCCCTTGCGCTCGGTCACGCAGGCGGACGACTGGGGCAGCTCGTCCCTGGGGGGCTTCACGCCACCAGAGCGGCAGCTGGTGGCGCATCATCCTGACCAGCGGCAGCTGAAGGAGGAGGGTGGGTGCTATCGGACGGGATGAACGTGCAGCAGCACAGGGTGCTGGCACCTGCGGGTTGTATGTGCGAGCCGTCAGCCTCACGCACTCACAGTCACTTGCAGTGTTGGCACAGCAAGCCAATCTGTGCTGTCCATACCCGCCCCACTCCTCTGTTCGCAGTGGGACGCACCGCCTACCTGCCACGTGCACGAGCAAGCGTTGCGACCATGCAGCCACCCTCTGTGGCCCCGGCTGGCAATTCGGGCTGATGATGCGGCCATTTGCTTCAGATGGGCGCTCACAGCAGGTGTTACTTGCACAAGCAACGACAATCCAGTACATCAATTTACAGTACCAGCAGGTCGTCAAGCATGCCATGTGGACCTTTGAGTGTGAAGTGCGGCCCACCAGCTGACTGTAAATCGGCGGTTGAGTAGTGCAGGGGTCTTGCACAACCTGCGCATGTGATGCGACCGATCATACTGCACGCACGAGGCTGCTGCTCTGCTCCATAAGCGTGTTGCGGCTGCAGCGAACGTTGTTGCTGGCGCTGGTGGCCACAGCCGCCGCAAGGCCCTGCTCTAGCGCCGCCGCTGCCTCAGCCGCGACCAATGCCGCCACACCGCCAGGCTTTGCAGGCGCTGCCTTGGTAAGCGCTGTCTCTGCGGCTGGCGGCGCAGTCGCTGACACAAACCAGAGTGCAGTTTGGGCCGCCACACCCTGACCATATGTCCAAGTGCCCTGCAGCTTGCCGTCTGCATAGCTGCCCGCAAACGCTGGAGGCTTGAAGCCAACTGCACACTTGGGCGCAGGCTGCGCTGCAGCCGCTGCATCTGTCTTGACCTCTGCTGCCTCAAGCCAGACGCGCCCCGAGGCCTCGTCCCATCTCCCAATCAGCGTGACATGCTGCGGCTCTGCCGTATGGGTGTCAGGGCCGGTGTCAGCCGAGGGCAGCATCGCCTGCAGGCTAGCGGTGCCGCGTGCCGAGCCATCTGGCAGCAGCTCCAGCAGGATTGAAACCACCCTGGTGGGCAGAGCCGCCGCTGCTGCCGCTGACCCAGCTGCTGACGCCGTCCCAGCTGCTGCCGCAGGCCGAGCTGCGGCAGGTGCTGCTGCTGCTGCTATTGCTCCTGCTGCTGCTGCTGCTGCTGCAGTTGCTGGCCGTGGAGACCGCAAGGCTGTGCTGCAAATAAAGGGCGCTTTGCCAAACGTGCTGCGAGGCAGGGCGGCTGCGAGGTAAAGCGTGCCGATCTGGAGGCGTGCCAGCCCCGGCTCCCCAGCCGCCATCAGCAGCTGCAGCAGCATCGCCGCCAGCTCGGCAGCAGTGGGCCGCACATCACGATCGCCGGCGTTGCAGCAGCGTAGTGCGGCGGATCCAAACGCCAGGGCGCTGTCCCTGGGCCAGTCACTCAGGCTGGGCGGCAGGTGCATCTCTCCAGATTTCACCTGACATGGCCGAGGGATGAGGTCCGGGATGATGATACAGGGGCCGCAGCCTGGGTGGCCAAAAGGTGCGATGACTACTGTTGAGGTTGTTCTTGCAAATCAGGGCCTCGTGCCCGCAGCTGGTTGGGCTGCAACCTCAGATTTGATCAACGCTTGGCCACGGGAATCGTACAAACGTTATGTCGTTGCAGCTGCGCACCTGGTGCATGGCGACCCTCTTGGCCTCCCGTGGCTCGCAGCAGTCAAACAGCAGCTGAACCATGATCACACCCTGGAGGAGAGGTCGAGAAATATGGGTCACCGTGAGGGTGCAGCGAACCGGTGGAAGGGCGCTGGCCGGCCCCTGGGGCGTTGCTCAGGGCAAACTTCCGGGGGCTGTGGGGCGGCTGCAGCAGCAAAGAAACGGCTCACCAGGGAGTACACGTCCGACTTCTCACACATCTGGCCCAGCTGCTCAAACAAGGGGTCCAGGTAATCCCTGTGGCGGCAGGGCGGCAAGAAGGGGGTTTTCTAAAGCAGAGAATCAAGACACATCAGTCCCAACTTTGGCTGAAAGCAAAATCTGCTACATGGCACCTTGCTCAGTCAGGCACACTGTCAGTGTTGCAGGCTTGCAACAACCCTTGCAGCCACAATCTGCATTTGAGATGTTCACCTGGTGCCGCACCAGCCATGCATCTGCGCAACACCGCCATTGGCGACCCCAACAGCCAGCGCGCGCAGGTGTGCCGCCGCCGTGCCGCCGCCGCCAACAGCTCTAGCGCCACTGTCGCGCTGCCCCGGGCCCGCACCATGCTGCCGCGCGACAGCCGCCGCGGCTGCTGCTGCCGCATGGATGTCGCCCGCCACGGGGCGTGCCACGCCAAAGTCAATCAGCTTTGCATTGCTGGCCGCATCCAGCAGTATGTTGCCTGGGGCAGAATGTGAACGTGCAGGGCGTATCATGTCAGCGTTCGCCGTGTCTCTGCCAACCACGTGCCGTGAATGAGCTAACCCCCCCCCCCCCCCCACCCCCAAGGGTGAACCCCGTCGAATCCCACGCGGACATCCTAAGCTGCAAACCGGCCACCTTCTGCAGAGGCTGCAAATCACATTTGACACTTCCTTGCAGGATCGTGCGCCTGGTCCACGCACCGGGCTTGATATCGCAGTGCACTATGCGCAGGCTTCCGTGCAGGTAGGCAAGTGCGGACGCCACCTGGTAGCACACACGCAGCCGCTCGTGCCACGTCAAGGGCGCGCGGCGTCCCTTGCCAGTGGTTGTAGCCACTGCACCCGGTTCCATGGTGTGGGGGCCTGCTCCGAATCGGTCGTCAAGGCAGCCGCCTGCCAGATGCTCCAGCGCAAGCGCCGAGCAGCCGGGCGTCCAGCAGCTGCCGAGGGCGCGGACGATGGCAGGGTGGGCGCAATGCCCAAGGTGGAAGGCCTCCGCTGCCAGGGCGCGCTCTGCACCAGCAGAGGCCACCTTGATGGCGACACGGCCAAGGGGTGGCAGGTCGGCCGCAAACACCTGGGGGGTGGCAGCAAGCAGGTGTCAGCAGGGCTGGGCACAGTCTGCTTCTAGGCGCACGCTCGTCAGCCTCAGGCTGCTGTCCGTCGTGCTGCCAGCCCTCGCATCATCATCCTGGCCCAGCACCATACCTTGCCAAAGCTGCCCGTGCCGATGACCTTGGAGCGCCTGCCAGTGGTGGCAGCAGTCACCTGCTGGGGAGTCAGCTCGACACCAACGCAGCTCGCGGTGGGTGCTCGGAACTGCTGCTGCCCCGCCACCACGGTGCAGGCGCCTTTGGCCTTGCAGACTTGCTCGCACACGGCAACCGCCCGGCCCCTGTTGCGGGTCACAACAGCGCGTGCGCCTTGCTCTTGCTGCTGCTGCTGCTGCTGCTGCTGCTGCTGCTGCCGTCCCTGCTGCCGCTGTGCTGGGGCAGTGGGCAATGCGGCCTGGAGGCTGCCACTATCATCTTTGCCACCGCCGCAGCGGTGGTGCTTGTGGTGGCGCTTGACCATCGTCCTAGCTCGGTTAGTGCTGTTGCGACGATGCGCTGCCTCGCTGGCGCAAGTGCTGCACAGTCCAGCAATGCGATGGAGGGAGCGCAGGTGCCAGATGGATGGCTGCTGCGGGTGATAACAATGTCACCACGCGTCAATGTACATGACTTCGCTACGTCTACTGCAAGCAGACGCCCGGTGATTGTACCGAGTCGACAGTGGCTCCTGGCTCATGTCGGAGCTGGACATACGGCCACCGATACGACGTCTAACTAGCCTCAAGCGATCCCGGCTGACTGAGGAGCTATCCACGCCAGCTGTGACTGCAAGGTCCTGCACTACGGCAGTATGATGAACTTGGGGGGCCTTCGTACGCTACACGGCGAAAAATTTGTTAATTGATGCCTCGTGGGCGGCGTAGTAATGCGAGTGCTCGGCAGGGCTGCCCAACTTGACTACTGTAGACGCAGCAGCTGCCTAGAGAACAAGAGGGTGGGCCGTCGTTTGATTCTCCATCAAGAACGAGGGCTGCCCTTCCAAGTGCGGTGTATCGATGGTGTCCAATCTAATCTGAATGATCAGGCTGCCATAGGTTGTGAGCCGTGCTCAATTGGGTCATTGGGGGCACGCAACTGTACTCCTGTCAATGGTTGAGAACCACCAATTTCATGTGCAAGTTGAGCACTAGTGCTGATACATAGACACGTTACTTTACGAACACAACATCCGGATGATAGACACACCCTCCATGAACTGATTGGTTCTGTCCGTTGTTGAATTTCTGAGGCCCCTGGGCCCTTGAACCCGAAGGTCAAGCTTCCAAAGGATTAGGATTAGGATCAGGAGTGTTACAAGATCCCGCGGTCACCCGCTCCTGGAGCCATCCAGGCTCATGGGATATGACTTGGTAGCATCAGCATTGTGTGACAGGGATTCAAGGGGTCACTGTTCGCCGTTCAATGCAGGCGTGCACAAAGGCTCCAAGGGAAGGGAGAGGATCGTTGTTACAGCGTCTTGCAGGCGCCGGCTCCTAAATTCATCCAAGATTTTGGAATACGGTGAACACTTTGTACAGGAAAAATCAGCCACAGCTGTGCCACCTTGATGCGTTTCAGCAAAGCCAGCAAGATTTAAGGCAAGGTGCATATGTTGAGACCATCCCGCAGGAAAGGGAGATGTGCAGTTAGATGAGTTTTTTAGGGGCAGTCAGTCCCATCGTGTGCCAAGCAAGGCAGTGTTCGCAGCTGAAAAACATGCAACTGCAATGTCGCTGCAGAGCGCACGCCGCCCCACGTTACTTGCAGCTGGGCGCGTTCAAGTCGAGATTGCCTCCTGTGCTTTGGAAGTAGCGTGAGAACGCGCTGTAATTGATGCCAGCACCAAGCACGCCTGGCCCGTCACCACGGTCGCCGCCGCCCGTGGCGGCGATGCGCTCCCGCAGCTGCTGCGCCGCATAACGGTCCAGAGACCGCATCGTGGGGCTGGAGGGGTCGGCCGTGTCTGCCGTGGCAAGGGCCCTCGCAGCCGCAACCACAGGCTCAAGAGCCTCCGAAATTAGGCCGCCCGGCGCGCCGCTTATGCTGCCGCCACTGCCGGCGCCGACTGTCGCCCAGAGCGCGTCGAGCTGGCCTTGCGGCACAGCCGTGTTGTGCGAGCGCACAAGCAGGCGCCGCATGAACGCCCGCACCAGCACCGCCTGCTCAAGCGCTGGGAGCACAAAAAACGCTGCGGCCACCCAGAACAGGTACCACGACGCGGCAGGGCCGCCCGCTGCTGCACCCGCTGCGCGCAGGGGGGCAGCCAGGGCCGCAAAGAGGAAGTAGTTGGGCTGTGTGAGCAGGATGTAGGCGTCCACCAGGTTCATCGAGTGCAGCACCGCTGCCGTGCTGCTGCCGCCCCCGCTGCCGCGAGGCGTAGCGTGGGCCGGCGCCGCGCCGCCAGCATGGGACGGCGCGGTGCCTGAGGGCATCAGCGGGGCAGAGTCGTCTGCAGCGGCATCGGCGGTGTCGCACGCGCCTGCAGGCGCGCCAAAGCGACCGATCTCAATGTCATCATTCTGCCCCTCAACCATGCCGTCGTCAGTCCTGGAGTCCTCCTCGCTGCTCACGTCCTCTTCGCTGCAAGTGTCCAGCGTGAACGCCGTGTTGCAAGCTGCCGAGGGCCGTAGGGCAGCTTCATTATCACGCAGCGAGCAAGCTGCATCCGCCGCCTTCGGCGCCGGTGGCGGCCGCGCATGCGCACGCGGGTCCTCGCGCTCCTGCTGCGCCGCCAGTAGCAAGCACGCGGCAAGCGCAGCGACACGCATTGCCAAGAATGCTGCCGCAACGAATGCAAGCGCCTGAAGCGCTGTTGTGTGGACAGCACGGCCGTACTTGTCCAGGGGGTCCAGGGGCCCCAGCAGCATCACTTGCGGAGACATGCCCGCAAGCCAGAGCGGTCCAAATATTCTGCAAGAAGAGGAGGGGCGTCCGGGGTACAGAGTGATAAGAACCTGACACACTTTGGAAGAGGGCGCACTGCAATCATGCCTTAGCTCCAACACATGAAAGGCGAGCGGCCACGCGCACCCTGGGGCGACCCGATGATTGCCGCCGCTGGCCTGCATCTCGGGTTCTCACCCATAAGCAATGCCTGGAGGCGCGGCCAAATTGCCAGCCACAAACGCCATTGCCCACAGCGCCGGCGCCGCCAACCACCGCCACGACTTGGCATGCTTCTTGGCCGCCACTGGCGCCCTCGCACGTGCCCACGCCGCCGCCGCGCCTGGCGCGACGCAGCCCATCGCTGCAACGGCTGCAAAGAACCCGAGTGACGACAGGGCGACGCCGTGCGCAAGGCCAGCCGCGACGAGGACAGCCAAAAGGGCCGTAAGGGCGGCGGTCCCGACAACTGCGCAGGACACCGCCAGGTATTGGCCGCCACCCCACATCAACGACGACGACGGAGCAGTCAGCGCAGGTGGCACCAACCAAAGAAGGGCGGCCAGCGTTGCGTAGGCAAACTCGTGCCCCGCCGTCAGCGCAACATCGGGCGGCAGGGACGCGTGCAGCGCAGTGACGCGCGCAAGCATGAAGGCGCCGACAGCTGCGCGCACTGTGTAGTTCAGAATGACCGCCAGCACAGGCGCGCGAGGTGCCTGCATGGATGGAGCGTGGCCAGCAGCTGGTGAAAGTGGGTTCCTGCGCCCAAGGGTCAGCCGGCGTGCAGGCAGATGACGTGTTGCAGAGGCTCGCACACTTGGCTCTCCATTCCACGCCCACCCCTTGACCACGTACGCATGGCGTCATTCCAGCCCCAATTCTACCCTGGCTTGCCCCCATCCTTGCCTTGCGTAGCGAGGAGGGGACATCCACGTCCAGCATGCTGTAAAAGGTGGAGGCGCCCAGCGCGGCAACAACCAGCACTTTGCCCCAGAGCTCAGGCAGCCCCTCGCCGCGCCACACGGCAAGCGCGGCGCCGGCAGCAAAAAACAGAGGCGCCACTGTTGCCGAAGCCAGAGACAGGCGGTCGCCAATATGCTGCATTGCCGCGCGCCAGCCGCCGCCTGCATGGTGTGTGTGTGTGTGTGTGTGTGTGTGTGTGTGTGTGTGTGTGCGCGCGTGCGTGCGTGCGTGCAAACGTGTGCGTGCGTGCGTGCGTGCGCGTGTGCGTGCGTGCGTGTGTGTGTGTGTGTGTGCTGGGAACAAGGCAACGCTGACTCAAGATACATCGGAAGACTCTATCCAGCATCACTGTTTCCGCGTTACTGCCGTTGCTGCCAGCACCTGTAATGGCAGAGCAGCTCGTCGAGGTACCCTGTAGCGTTTCAACGTCCCACCTTCGCTGGCCATGTAGCGCCGCAGGTCGTCAACGGATAGGGCCTTGCCGTTCGGCAGGTTGACGTTGCGGTAGGCCTCCGGGGGCAGGCCTGAAACGTAGAGGGCCAGAGGCTCCAGGGCGTACTGCGGCGGGGGAACGGCACCGCGGCCATTGAAGTTGTCTAGAATGTCAAGGGGTGGTTGCTGCTCCAGCATTTGTTAACATCAAACGTTTGATGTCGTGAACTCAGGAAGCCAAAATGACAGTTGAAATCAAGAAAGATGGATCAAGTGCCTCATCAAGCTGAGTGTAGGCGGCAGAATGGGTGTGTCTGGCAGGAGAAAAATGGAGGGATTACATACAGGGGGTTGCCCTGGGTGTCGGCCGGTTGTACGTGACAGCTTGAGCGGCCAACAAAACACATGCTTGGTGCAGAAGGCCGGTGCATATGCAAACACGTGTTAAGCCGTATGGCAGGCACGTGTCGGGGGTTCCTTAAAAATCCATTTGAGCAGCTTGGTGACCTCCACATACTGCCTATTCTCAAAGACATCGAGCTGCTCAATTGATGCAGATGTCACTGCCCCCGTACCCCCTTCCTGCCTCTCCAATACTAGCTACACCTAGGCCCCCTCTGGTTGGTGACACAAGCAAGTAATCAGCCTGCTGCAACCCTCAATCGCACCTGGTGGCTCACGACCAACACGTTCTTTCCCGTTGCCGCCATCGGCACCGCCACGTCCTCATAGAAAGACGCGACTCGCGCATAGACCGATGCGACAGGCTCTCCCAGGGGCGGTGCCGCGTGCGCGCCGTGCATAAGGGACTCGTAGGTTTCGTAGCCCAGGGCCATCTGCAGCAAGCGAATATTCTGCGAGGGAGGGCGCGTTCAAGGGGCAAGGAGTTGGGGGGGGGTCAAGCAAGGAAAAGAGGTGGGGGGAAGAGGGAGTGGGGCGGGGAGGGAGAAGGAAGGCAGAGAACAGGAATGTGGAACAGGGATGCAGCAACAACGAACACTCTTCGCACAAGTGAGGGCCAGTTTTCAGGCATGGTGAGAATGGGGTTGCAGACACTTTTTTGGTCCCGCAAGTGTGCTGGGGGGTAGGGACAAGGGTGAGGGTGAATGGCTGAGGAAATCGCCTGCAACAAGGAAGAGGGCATCTGCGCGCACTTGGGCAGTGAATGAGCAATCAGGTCAGCTGCGACAAATTTAAATTTTCCCGAATCACCTGACCGGCAAAGATGCCAAAGCTGCGCTCCGCAATGCGGCTGTCATGCTGAAGTGCCATGCCCCCCTGCCCTGCGGCCTCAAGCGCTGCCCGCGCCGTGTAGGCGGTTCGCCGCAGGTGAGACGTGAACACCACATCGACGCGCACGCCCTTGGCGGCGAGGTCACGGCCGGCTGCGCGTGCCTGGAGCTCGCCAAAATCTGTGAGCTTGACGTCAATGATCCCCGCCAGGATGCCGCGCTCGTTTGACGTGCTCTCCCCATGGCGCACGAAATACACCGCGCCCGGCGCAACACCCGCCAGCGACGTTGTGCGTGGTGGCTGCGGCCGGCCCCAGGCGCCCCCCGTAAACGAGCGCACGGCAGCCGCGCGGCCAAGTGTGGCTGCAAGCAGACGCGACTCATCGCGGCCACTGAGGGCGTGGAAAGGAGAGGCGCGCGTGAAGCTCGCCCGATTGAAGCTGGACCGGCTGCCCGCGCCCGCTGTGGCGGGCGGGCGGCCTGGGGTCCCGTCAGCCAGGCCGCAGGAACCACCGCGGCCGCCGCTGCGGCTGTCTGGGCTGTTGCTTGGCGAGTCCTCCTCTGCAAGCCCCGGCAGAGTATTGCCCGCAGCGGTGAACTGGCGGCGCACCACACATGTGAAGGAGCCCGGCCGTGGCGCAGTGCTGGATTCGCCCCACGCTGCAAGCTGGACGCTGCCGCTGTTGCCAGGGACGGCAAAGTGGTTGGTGCCGCCGATGCCTTTGTTGACAGGTGCATATGTCACCCCATCACTGTGGCTGTTGATGCCGCCAAGGGCCCGCGGCCACACCCTCGTGCAGAGATTGCTTGCGCCGCGCGCCGCCAGCATGGCGGCGTGAGCGGCGGGAATCATCAGCGCAAGCGCCAACAGTGAGCCCACTTGCAGCAGGAGCAGCGTCCTTACCGCATCCTCTGCCGGAGGCCCATCACGTTGTTCTCCTGGCAACGGAAGCGCCCAGGAATGCGGGGGCTGCGACGCAATGTAGAATGTAACCCCACCGCCAGGGCGCGGGGCTGCGTCAATGTCATGGTGCGGGAACCCACCTTCAGGCGCCGCGTGCACGCCAAGCACCTGGTAAATAAAAGCACAGGCAGCGGAAGGACTGTTGCAATGTTAGCAGCTTGCATCACGTTACGATTGCAATTGCGTTTGCTGTTGGGGAGCAGAATGTGGGGCATTCACAAACGCAAACGAGATGCAGAGCAATGGGAAGTCAGTTTGCAACAGTGATCTCTTGTTTTACCTGGCCGCAGACACGCGGATTGAGCTCCACGACGGCCCCGGACAGCGGCGCGCCCACAGCCTGGATGTTGACAAACAGGCGCCCACTAGGACCGGCGGCGAGGGAGAATGCGTATGCACCGGCAGCGACAGCCTCGAGGGAGTAGGAACACCTCATAGCGTAGGATGCTGTTGGAGACAGGTCCAGGACATCAACAGCCGGGCGCATGCGGCTGGCTACGTACAGCAGGCGGCGCGGCTCGTCGACGAGCAGAGCGTGAGGCAGCTGCGTGATGGAAGGTGCAGGTGCCCCGCACAGGCCAGTCCAGGAATAGCGGTGCAGGTTGGGGGAGGAGATGTATGTGTGAGAGCAGAAGACTGTGCGTGTGAGGGCACAAGTTGCCAATGACGGAGAGGGCATGGGGAGGTCTACAAAGACATTCTTGAGCCACAAAGCGCTAGATGGCCTGCCCTGGGCCATTAGCGTGTGCTTCAACAGGTGGACCAGAGCCTTGGATGGCAGCCGTGCTCGCCCAGCGCATGCGTGCTCACCTGCCACTGCCACTCGCCGCTGTCAGGCAGTGCGGTCATTGCTGGAATGCCGTAGGGAGGAGGGAGGAAGTCCTTGTCAGCGCCCGCCTGCAATACCTCCACCATCCCAAGTTGTTGACCCATAGCCACAGGGGGCAGGTTCTCAGCCCAGGCAGCAGCAGCCGCATCGCACGCAACGGAGCCCCCGCTTGCAAGAGAACCGCACACGCGTGCCCAGTGTACTGCCACGCTTTGCAGCAAGCCAGGCCGCCGTGGGCCCGTCGGGTCGCCTGCACGTCCAGCCGCTTCACGAGCCGCGGCGGCGCCCAGCGACAAAGGCGGCGCACGACGCACTTCGGCCATGACTGCGGCCGAGGTGGCATTGAAGACCACGAGCCGCTCGTCGCAGTACCCGCTTCCAACAATAACACGCCCATCCGCCGTGTCCACAGCCGCAGCCGGATCACATAGCGCGCCCGGCCCATGCACTGAAAGCGCACGCACATGCTGCGCGGCGGCAGCATCGCCTGCCAGCGGCGCGCCGGGTGTGCGGGCCGCAGCGGGCGCCCATGGGACGCCGTACGCAGCAAGCTCGCGGCCAGAATTTAGATCCACGCGAATGACGACACCTCCAAACCGGTCGACGCATAGGAATGACTGGCCGTCGGCCGACAGAGCCACGCTGTGCGGAAGGTAAACGCGCCCCTCCAGGTACCACCGCGCAACACTGCCGTCACGGAGTAGCAGCACGACAGGTCTCCTCTGTGGCTCGCGGCAGTGTGCAAGCTGATCCATAGTCCCTGCCGGAAGGCACCAGCCACTGCAGCACTGGGGCCGGTGGAGCACAAGCAAGCCACCGCCAGCCTCCGCGCCGACCTTCTTAATCGACACGACAGTGCCTTCGCAGAGCAATGACAACGTGACAAGTATTCCAGCCAGGTGGGGCGATGCAAGGATGAGTGAAAGGGGCCAGGAGCAGGTGGTGAGGATGTGAGCAAGGCCACAGTTGTTACATGCAAGTTGCTCGCTCTGTGGTACGCACTGCAAGCCGATCATTGTGATTTTCGAAACCAAGTGATGCAAACATAGATGCGCTGCATAAATTCACCACACATGTACACATGCACACATGCACACAAGCACGCATGCACGCACACATGCATGCATGCATGCATGCTCACGCGCCACTGCCGTGCCCCACCTAGCTCGCCCTCCCGCATCAGGCGCCGCAGCAGCCCCATGTCGAGGTCGAACTCTGTGACTTTGGCCAGAGGGCGCTGAGCCACGCGGAACTCAGCATAGATCTCCTGCTCCAATTTTGCTGCATATGAGACCTTTGGAGTTGCACGTATGGAAGGCAGCAAGGGCAGGCAACAATACTCAATCTGAACACATGTCAACGCGTCGAAATGGATTGACTTTGCCTGAATTGCTGCCCAGGTGCAAGCACAGACGCGCTACCAGGGCACCAATATCAGCAGAGGATTGTGCAGCATGAAATTTAACATGCCTGTGCCTCACCTCCTGCAGTGTCAGCGGACCACTGGGCAGCGCACTTGTGCTGCCCGATGGCCCTGATGTGGGGCCCTCTGCAGACGCTGCCGCCGCCGCCACCCCTGCCGCGTTAGTTGCGAGCGAGGTGCGGGTAGCGATGGGATTGTTTTTTTGCAATCAAGCCCGAATTCAGAGGCGCATATGATCGTTTGCATTTGCACCTGCATTAACTGCATGGCGCGAGGAGCGCCGTGAAGTATGTATTCGCGGCGCGACCTGCGCCTCTATTGGCGGCGCACACAGAGGCCAAAGCCCTTCCTGCCGACTCATGCCAAAACATTCAACACGTATTGGCGCGCTCTGCTCACCTGCAGCAAGGAACAGCAGGAGACGCAGCATACCCGTGGTCCCGTGCTGTTTGTCCGCACGCACTTGAACTTGGATTTCGCGGCGTCTTTGCGGGTACGTGTCAAGTAATCATAGTTCTGTTCCGAAGCCCGTGCCTGTGTGGACGACCGACTGACTGCAGGCGTGGTCCAAGTGCCACCAAAGTGTGAGCGAGTGACAAGAATTGCAACGGCGTCAAATGACGTGGATGCAGGTCGACGCTGGGAAAGGAAGATGCGCACAATACAAGTGTTCACAGACTTATGTATTTTTCTTACTAAAGAGACTGAAGGCGGCGCCAATGTGGGGCTGAGTGCTGACCACGCGCCAACAAGTTGTCACTTTGCATGCCCCTGAAGCTCACACGGCGCACCCACAAACTCTTTCAGTCGTCCCCACGCGAGTTCCCTCCTGCCAGATCATAGGACAGACCTTCTGGAAGTTGCCTTGCGGATACGCACCTGCACGAGCATGGGACGTGTGTTGACATCCCGGTTGTGGCTTGGCTGAATGGGAATGTGCACCGCGGTTCCTTATGCACACATCACATTGGCACGGCGACAGTGAGTTTGTCCGCGTACTAGGCAACAGAATCAGCAAAGAATGCCAACCTAACCCTGTTGCCTGTACAAAAAGAAAATGCCAGAGGTCGGCTTTGGCCGCCGTTGCTGCACCCGTGGGCTGCCATGTCCGGGCACTGCCCCCGTGACTGCAGCCACTCTGTTGACGTCACCACGACAACTGGTGACGGGTGTACGCATGCTGGAATGATCCCTGGTGAGCATCCTAGCATACGAACATTAGATTAAGGTTTTGTTCTTAGGGTTACGGATTTGCAAGTCCTTGTATGGCTGGGCAGCGCTTTTTGCGGTTGCAGACATTCCCCCTCGTCCCTTGAACCCTAAACCCTGAGCGGCTGGCAA